CGAAATGAAGCCTAAGAATGCAACAACGTAAATTTAAAAATTAACGGAATGTAACGATTCAATTTTTTCATAAACAGTTCATCTTTGTAGGCAGGCACCCGTGTATAACATTAAATTGTTACAAATTTTTATGCCTAAGACAAGCAACATAATACATCCAATACTTAAAGTTTTGAAAATAAAGCTCTTGTAGTATTATGGCCGAGTCCAAAATAATGAAGCAGACTGTAAAATATCAACTGATTTTCTAATTCCGACTAGATATTCCAAATTGTTCAGGCTTCAATTACGTCTCCAGGCTCACATAAGTGTCGCCTTTTGCGCAGGGTGAACTTGTAGCATCAGTAATCCATGGGTTGGTGGGAGAAAGTGCGTCCGTTTCGATAAATGTGTTCTCGACGGGCACCACTTCCAACTGGGGCTGGAAAGGTGTACGCAAAAAAGTATGCGGACATATCAGTGATACCCAACTAGGCATATATGAATGTGGGCCTATAGCTGAAAGACTTCAATATTTGTGCTAGGATAGTGAGATCCGCCTGTGATACGACTTGCCATGGTCCGAATATGTAATGAAGATAAAGTGAGAAAAGTGCTGAAATTCCTTAATCGGTGCCATATACTTGACACGAAACAAAAACTACGTGTCAGAAATGGTTACAAGACAATTTGCTGTATTCAAAAGACATCACTCCGGAAATCAGAATGCGATTTTGGGTACATAACAACCAGCTCGAGTTCAACGCAAGCGGTATTAAAAGACAGACAGTAAGTAGAAGATCTGTTGGTCTACCAAGTGTTAGCCAACATAGTAAGGTAGGTAATCAGCAGCTTGACCATGAGATTCACAGTTGCTGACTATCAGTACACTAAAATGTCAACAAAGAACGTCAGTACAATATTTATTATTACTCTTGATCGTATTGCTCCGGTCTCCTGTCAACGAGCAAACGCCTAAAGCATGACAATGATTGTAGCCTTCAACGAACAGGAAACTGGTTGAATAAACAGGGTCATTGAACGTCCACTCAATGTTCCCTATCACTGACACTCTCCGAAAATAGGGGGACCCATTCCCTTTTTACCGACGAACAATACGCTGGAGGACCTAGGCCAAAGAGGAGAAGGTTGAAATCGGAAGTAAAACAGAACGGGCGAGTACACAACAATCATATATTCATCACACCGGGGCACATCCTCACCATCCAACAGCAACGGCAACCACAATAGACTGCAGTGCTATCTCAGGTCACTAGGTTAACTCTTCAATTCTGAAGTATTCTTGACACTTTGCAGCACGAAAATAAATCACCACATCGACTCCTGAAGATACGAGCATGACTACCTTTTCGATATAGCTTGGCACTCTCTGCACAACAACCTCTTGTGTGTCTCGTGTTAGCAATCACTGTCAACCCCTGTCACTCACTCAGCTTAGGTCGGCATAATGACTGATGCAAGTAAACTTTTAGCTCCACGACGCAAGAAGCATCAACCCTAAATGAGGAAAAGTTGACATTGAACATAAACGCAGTGACAAGACTTGCCTACGAATTTATTAAACACTTCTCCCCCTCTATCATTCCACTTTCAGTTCAAGTTCACATCAGTATAAGCCTCCCCTCAGTGTTTGAATCTCATTTGATGATTTTAGTTTCATTTTTCGAGAATCACAATATAATTCCAAAAGATGTGAAACAAATTTGAGATTAAACAGCGGAAATTTATAAGAATTTATGAAATAGAACAGAATACAAAGAACACTGCGGTTATACTTTCGATCCCGGCATTACGAATATATGTAGACGTTACATGGGATTCGTACAAAAACAAAGCTTGTATGCAATTACTAGATTTGTAAATCAATACAAGTGAGCAAAGCAACTCTATCTACCAAGTTCATTTCAGATACACTCTACTCTTGCACATATGCATATAGTCCACTTAGCTGTATGGACCATGCTCTGACGTAGTACCCTGGAAGAAATGCAGGACTTAGAGCAGTAAGCCCGCAACCCCTCTGAGGTTGTGGATTCCATGTTTAAAAATCGTCGTCCTACCATCACATATATCTTTAATTCTCAATAGTGCCATGCCCTTGACATTCTATCAGGGAAAGTATATGAATATTAAGTATATTTAATATCTGATACCCAGATGACCACACAGAGTAATTTGCACCAAGAAAAATGATTTTCATGTAGTAGATTGAAACCTGAGAGCTATATTTGTTAAAGTCATTTTGACAATTACTTTATATCCTAAAATGGTATCGCATGCAGTTGGCTCATCATCACTAGACTCAGTAATTACTTTCAACCTTTCGAATAGACTAATGCTGGCACAATCAAAGCATAAGACACGTGGGTTCATGGAAAGACATGTCACTGTAATTGACAACACCGATGGCGACTGCGTGATACGGCATGGTGCAGTAGTTGTTTTGTTTTAGACAAAAGACGGTTGTTTGACAGCAGAATTACCACCACTTGTACTTATCATGATTACCTCCAGTTTGGGATTGACATCTGTCGATAGACGGACTGTACGTGTTTTATTCCCACTGGTCGTCTTAACGTAATCCACATTTTCTACAACAGCACCAACTTCTAATTCACGGCCCTTGCTTAACTCTGCGATAGTAGCTTTGCTATTCGCCTCATTGTGATTAAATGGGGACAAATTTTCATCACCATGGCTATGATCACAAACACCTGCTTTGTCGTCATATGCATTATTGAGTTCATCATTTTCAACATGTTTGTTAACAGTAGTAGATGACTCAGGCCTTTCATCTTGAATCCCTGAAACAGTATTTATATCTTAATATAAACTAGCAATTAGTTGAAAAGATGTGAAATCAGAGCTAAAATATGAAGCTGGAACCATGTTCTCCAGCAGACGACACAGCGTCGTCAGTAAGAAAAAAAAATCAAAAACCACTTACTAGCCAACGCCACTGGGTTCTTCAGTGCAGCCGAACCCACATCATGCATGCAGGGCAGCCAAACACCACACACAGTTTGCCGGACTATTTTGGTTGAAAAATAGTGATGAGGTTTATACCACCTTAGTGGTTCGCATGTTTTATGACTCTCTTCAAGTAACTTTTTGTTATACATCCTCATACTTAATCCAAAGTTTTGAATGCAGGACATACTTCGTTTTCGGACTCACTGATCACTTAGAAGCAACATTGCGCTTACAGATCAATCGGCCCTCGTTATGATTCCATGGTAGACTTATAGCAAAATGTTCGTTCTCGAACATACAAGAGCTTCCAACCAGCTTAACTGCCTTCCAGTCTTCAACAGAACGTGGAGTATCATCTCGAGACTCTGTGTTATACATATCACGAATCATAATCTCCACGGCCTAATCATCATTTTTGACAAGACATGATACATGAGCGCTCAATACGGGACCTCCAACTGTCCAACCGAGTGGCGTCTTTATTGCGTACAGGTATTCCTTATCTCTGTACCCCACTTCTATGACCCTGTGACCTTCTGGTTTGAACTTACCGTTGCCTCGCTAGCCCAAAGTCTGCAATCGCTGAAAGTAGGCTATTCGTAGGAATGTATGATTTCTAAGGGGATAGTCTATCTTGATGCAGTCCTTCTGTCGCTACATGAGTTTACGGCCCCCACTTTGATCTTCCCACAGCTTCCAGTAAAAGCTTGAAGTGGGGGCCGTAAAGTCATGTAGCGACAGAATGACTGCGACCAGATGGACTATCCTCTTGGAAATCACATACCACAATCTATTATTTGGTATCATTTGAAGCTAGCGCAAATAAATCATTTTCGTTTACATTAGGTTGGAAAGACGATATCAGAATCTTGTTTTAGTAGAGCAACGATTTATTTATTGTAACCAAACAATTTTCCCAAGTATTCAAATTGTTATGGTTAATATAATTTATTTTATTTTACTATTGCCTAACTACATACAGTATTTTTGATACAAGTATCGAATTTTCTGTATGTGATATCGGCAGCCTAAATTTAGCAGGCCGACCATTTCTATTAGATGTATTTCAGCCTGGCCCAAGCTTACAACAATTCTAAACCTGTTCTTCGAAAATGCCTTTTTATGGTAAATGAACATTTCATCTACCCACTATGTTCTGAAGTAACGCTAGTTCATGCTTAATATGTCCTGTGAGGGCTGGAACAACGCTGATAAGCAAACCCAGAAGGTTCTGGTCTACTCTTGAAAATGCCTAGAAAAAGAACAGGGTGCTGAATTAGTGCCAGTCAAGCTGAAAACCAGCAATGAGTTCTAGTCTGTGCCATTAAAGAATCCGTTTCAGAACAGATTCAGAATATACTCACTATAAAATGTTAGAATTATTTGAGAATTAGTGAGATTTAATTCAGCATTATGGTAAGCTTGGGGGATCAAACCCCGGACCATGTGCATGGTCGGCGATTGTCCTAACCCCCGTGCTACCGGACTGTTTATAGTACAAATATAGTTAACTCATTGACCTTTTATCAACTAGCACCATTTTTGATATCGAAGAGTCGTTTAATTGCCTGACAAAGAATGGTCGTGTTCCGCATCGATTATCTTAGTTGTAATTTAAGACTGAAAAGTCGCTGCGAAAAGTCAAGCACATAAAAATGCTACAGGTTTTGATCCTAGATATCTTCATTTCACTGTTCACGTTAGTTCAGAGTGATCAATTTTTAATGACACCAATACATGTAATTATCGCCTATTAGCCTGAATCATATTGAAAGAGGCAGACTATGTGGTTAGTGCTTTTTGAGTAATAAAAACTAGTGATTTCGAACTCTTGGTGAGATGACTTCAAGTCCTCTACAACTGCACAGGTGTATACCGTTTACCATCTTCGAAACTGTTGCTTAATCTAATATTCATTCACTTTACCACTATTTCATACGCGTTTCCCTTTATATGCCAGTCTTTTGCAAAATATTACTACACGTGGGGCGTTAGTAATCCCGAAATGTATATTTCATAGTAATGTTTCATTTGTAGACCAACAGGTGTACAAAATGCCATGTTCAAACAACTTTAATCTTTGTAAAGACGTTGCAAAGTTTAGAAAAACATTCGAACCAATCTATCAGTGCAAATTAAGACCGACATAACATCCGTGATAAACTCTTTGCAAGTGTAATTGTATCACAATATATCTTTCACTTTAAATCTACAGAAACTGATCATTTGACAAAGTAAACGGCTGCAGTTCTTATTCATTGATGATATCTTCATAATTTAATTTGAACTAATCTAGATTAAAAACATTCGTTTTATAAATGCATTTAGAGGCGATAAGCAATGAGTCAAACAGCTGAATCAGAACAAAAAGCTGATACCTCAGAAGTTTTGAAGAAAAAGAAGACTAGAAAGCGTTCAAAAATAAATAATGGTGATATAGGACCAATTTTGGATGCTCTAGGGGATGACATAACAATTGCGTCGGAAATGGAAACTGTGAATAATAGAAGAAATAGTCAGGCAACCGGAGCAAGAAAGATTCCAGTTATAAATAGTCACGGTAAGATAAAGCCTTATGTTTTATAACTTTTTCGACTAGCTGCTAATCAGGAAAATAGTATCATTTGTATATTCTGAATGCAAATTTCAATAAATAGTAAACTATGAAATAAACCTGTCAAATAAAAGCTTTCCTAGACTCGTATCTAATTATCATATTTGTTCTGTCTTATCAGTCATTTTGCATCTTTTTATTACTCCTTTCATTCTCTTGTCAATCTTTTGAGATACTGCTTCTCTTATGAATGAGAGACATGTCTAAAAGGAAGCAGATATTTGCTAAGTGCGATTACCAGACGCTTTATGGATATGCGTCATTTCGTCAAGATTTCTAAATCCATCAAAGAATAGCAAATTTACTATGATTTACTGAAGCAGTTGCAATCAAGCGTTTGAAACCAAACTTATGCATACAGAAAGAAAGAGTAATCAATCTCTCCCCGCTTTGGTTACTGCATTTTGATTACATTGATTAGTCATCCATATTAGTGATTTCAGTTCACCCAGCAGGATCCCAATTTTATACAATCTTCTTCAGTTGCTACGTAAACTTACATGCCAACAATATTTATTAGATTTTGTTCTGTCTTTTCCCTCTTTCTTTTCTACTTTGAAAGCATATAAACTGACGGTAACCTAAGCTAAAAATTTTAATGCTTTATATCCCGGATACGTTGATTTTACGATGTTTTCTCTACAATTATTCAAATATTGAAGTACGTTATTTTCATTCTTTTATAACCATTGTAATTTCAGGTAGTTTGCAGCTGATTAGAACCTGTGAAATAGAGTGATCTAATTTTATACCACAAACGCTTCTCATTCAAAGTTGTAACTTGTCGTCCACAAACTACTAGAATAAATCGAAGTCAAACGTGATTAGTAGCTCAGAAGGAAAACTAGACTACTCTGAAGACTTTGTACAAACCTAATTTAAGCTTTACAAATGTGTTCACTTCCTATTTAGCTAAACCATACATCTATTTTCAACTTTTTATGGAATCCCTACTTTATTGTTAAATTTTCTTAGAGATTTTCACTGTGTTGTTACAAAAATTATCACGGATGCAGTTTTGTGTGAGACCCGACACTGTGTTGTCTGCAATAGTTAAAACACTTTTCACTAAAATTTATCAGTAATGCTTGATTAGATTTCTTGTATCATTTTAATTCATTTCCAGGTGATGGTGTACACACTTTCCCTGAGAGTAACCTTGCTCCAAATGTCTATCTTGAAAATCGGAGTGGTTTTCGTGCTCAACCTTTAAAAGATTATGAGAAGAACATAAATACTAAGCAACAGAAAGAATCAATTGCAAAATTGAAATCACAGGATAAGCAAAGACTGATAAATATGCCAAATAATCCAGGATTGTATTTTGTTGTTAAAATCCATGAAACATTGCAGATGTTGTCATTTACATTATTTGGTGTACTAGCTGGAGCAAGTTTAGTACATACTTTGTTTGTACAAGCATTAGCTAATGCAACACAAACTGGAAGTAGTACAAATCAATATTATTTACTCTTAAGACTTTATGGCGCTTATGCTCGACCGGTTTCAGTAACGTTTTATGCATCGTTAGCAGTAGTTGGAGTTTTTGTATTCGGAAAATTCGATTTGGGAAGACCAACGATAAATTGTGTTCGAAAATGTGCGAGACTACAGGTAAATGTTCGTTTTGTTTTATTTGTGCCAAACTTATTTAACATGTTTATATGAGAATGATGATTAACAGTGTAGATAGATGTAACATATTCCATTCCTTATTATCCAATCAAAAATATAACGTATATACTTTCAAGGATTACTGAAGCTAAGATGTACTTCAATGACACTGATATTTAGGCAGTTATCTGCAATCAACTTAAAAAATACGGTGATTGTCTTAGGATTTCTGAACACCTCTTTTGTCAGTTAAAACAGATAGTAGTAGGTCTAAATGACTTTTTTCAAATTTCTTTAAACTATTATCCATTTAAACATTCATTTTACCATAGGCTGGACAGATCTGTCGATTTTGTTGTCTAAACGTTCTTAACCAAAATTAACAATGGGACAGCATTATGTTGTTCTCTTTAATTGACCTCTTAAGATTTCCGAGTAAGGTGTTACTGATTAAACTGAAAAGTTCCCAAAGTATTTCAAAATTAGTACAGTGAGTTGGTGGTTCAGTGACAGAAAGCTCGCCAACCAGGCATGTCATCTGAGGTTCGATCCCCGGGCGGACGCACTCCCAAACCTCACTAAGGCGGTAGTAAGGTTAGTAAAGAGGGAAGGTCGGGCATGAGGTTAGCAACCCTACCCTGTAAAAATAAAACCATTGCTACTGAAACTTCAAAGCTCTAGCTTGAAGCCCTATGTTCCTCTGGGAACGTAAAGGAATAAAATAATAAATAACAGTGCTATGGAGTTTAAAGTTCTGAGAGGAACTTCTATGATTGTGGAAGTCTAAGGAACTTGTTAGAAATTAATTTGATAATATTCGGTCCTTCAAACCTTGACTTCACGAAACGTTTGCCATCAGTAAAATTGAAGATTCACAATAAATCTGCAAATTAATCGAAGTATCTATCCTTAAATGGAAAGGTTGATATGTGGAAATATGGTTTACTTTCATCACGATATCAAATAATAGGTATATGATTTTTGTAGACGATATCAAGCAGATAATTCATGTTTTAGGTTGATATCATTAATTGAATTATCCTTTTCTCCTTCCTTTTTTTAGAATGGTCTTATGGCTATTATATTCTACATGCTTTGCTTCATAATTAATAATTCTATGAACCGGTTTGATTATATTCTTCATACAACTAGTTACAAAAGTGATACTCAAATAAAGTACCTACTGAATACAGACAGTGAACTGAATAATTCCCTGAAAATCTGGTTAATACTTGATGCTGGCCGTACAGCACTCATTCTTATCACATGGATATCAGTCGGTTTGGGTGATCCACTTTACGACAGGCTAATTAAGACGCTAAGCAGCAGTCCAACAGGAGATGGAAGAAGGGACGCCGATATGAAGAATGAAGGTCAAATAAGATCGAATACAGAATGATGATAAGTGAACACAATCTAATTAAAAGGTGTTTTTCTAATTTTCACTTTTCTTTAAATCTGTTTAAGAATTTCGCTAATTTTTTTTTCAAATATAAACTATTGATTCAATGAATGTTTACTTCTAGAGATTATAGGATCTTTATCGCCATTAAAGAGACTTAAGCTTGATTTCAGGAATCTTATAGCACAACCTAAAGAATATTATCAGTTGGGAGGATTCATCATTCGTTAAAAAAATTTCAGAAATTAGCACATGTTTATATGTGCCTTATTAGTATCGTGAACATTTATAAATTCCATAGAGCAGCGTTTCTTCTTGTTCACCGGAAAAAATCATGTTTTTAATTAATTTAGGTCAGAACTACTTTGTTCTACTACAATCGTATAGTTAGATGTTCGAATACACCGGGGCTACCCAAATTGTTTGATATCTTTAGAAAATAATCCATCGTTACGTCCCTAATCTGATTGTGGAACTTTCATTATGAAATATAAAACCACACCAAGGAACAAACAGTTTGATTTTTTATCCTGAAATACAAATCTATTTGATTAGTGAATACATGAAAAGAATAAATTAATCTTACTATTATACTCACAAGGGATGCGTCGGTGGCACAGCGGTAGAATGCTCGGCAACCACGCAAGTGGTCCGGGGTCCGATCCTCAGACACCGACCAACTCCTTTACCTCGCTAAGCCAGCAATAAGAGTGGTAAAGAGGTGAGGTTAGCAACCCCATCCCGTAAAAAATAAACACCACTGCTACTGAAACTTCAAGCATGTAACTTGAAGCCTAATGTTCCACAGGGAACGTAAAGAAATAAAAAACACCAACTCACAATTAAAGAAGCTGCCGTCGTTTATGAACCCGTATTTTGTAATGCAAATACTGTTAACTAATACACTAATAATATAAGATAGATAAACTTTCCATCAAATATCAGTCAGGTTCTAAAAGTGAATCTTCGCAGAAATGACTAACGGGGAAATCAAGGACGCACCACTTTCTGTAAAGAAACAAAACGCCTATCTACTACACATAATGGAAGTATAATACATCTGTGAAAAGATTTAGTAATATTTATTAGCATTTCTCTTGTGTTTGTTTCAAACCCAATGATAATCATATGGCTTTTTAAGCGTTTTGGGAAAAATGGTAAAAAGCTGAATTTCACATTTTCTGATTACATTTTTATGCAAATACTCTATCAAATAAGATACATAAAAGGGACATAATGTAAAGAGTTTTAAGAAAAGCATTCATATAAGAATTACACTATTTAATGGGACAATATAATTGGAGTAACATGTACAAAATTGATTTTAGTGTTGATGAGTATGTCTCTTATTTCTCCTCTTCATGAATTTTGTGAGAAAGCAAATGCAGATAATCTTTTGGATGCTTTTTCCCCGAAATCAGAAGGCTTTTTCTTTGATACACTGGGACTGAAGTCATCATCTTGACTGGGAGGACGTTTAGTAAACTTTTGTGGTACGTTCTCTTTGGAATCAGTAGTAGGGCTTTTACTTTCATCATTGTACAGATCATTTTTTGAATTTTTTGCAGTCAGCTAAAAGTATAAATTACAACACGAATATTAAACTGGGGATTGAGCAATCGGCTACATATAAACTGAATGCTAAGTAGATGAGATTTTTGTATTATTAGAACAATGATGATTTGCATATTTAGCCAAATTCACGCCACTGGGACTAATGGTAGAAATGACATGACATTTAAGTCATTTATACTGAATAAAAAGTTTATTGATAAGGTATGGCTTTAGAGTTTTCATAAAGCTCAAAATCGCGATCCAATACATATGCACATAGATAAACAGTGTAACTGTCATATCATTTAGTGTCAAAATTTGTAAGTATTTGTTAGTGGAACGTAAAACAATAGGACGAAAGCAATCATTTCCATATAATTACGTTATGTATGTAACATCTCACACGAATAACGATGAATCAAGTTCTTTCGACTAGTAAGTGAAATTTGTGTTTTAAGTAAATATTCATTGAATACTTCAGTCTGTAAGCGTCAATTTTAAAATATAATAACTGGAAAGCTTGTCTATATTTATCCCTTGAATATTATCAGAAAGTAAGTGGGAATTTAATCCGATTTGAATAGGCTGTTTAGCCTATTATGATAAAGCTTCCTTCATATAACAGACATAGTCATCCGACCAACAAGAGTCATGATTTTTCAAAACTTGACATAAACTTACGAATTCCGACCGGCCTATTCGAACAAGCTCCTCAACAGATACTTCGGGATAACTTTCTTCGAGTGTCTCTCGATTTTCTTCAAACCAATCAGTAAATTCTTGATCAGTGCTAAATCAGTAAACGGGAGAAAAATAATGGTAATTTAAAATTTATCATTTGACATTAAAAAACCTCTTGTAATAAGCTAATTATTACTTACTCTACAACATCAGCTGGTTTACTTCTTTGCACCTTTGAACGTTGATGTCCCTGAGGAGAAAAAAAAGAAATTACTTCAGTGAATTGAAATCTCGAGTACAGAGTATTCCAAAAGTTAAACACAAGCTTTTCCTCCTGTAAAATCTGATAACAGAAGTTCGAAAATCACTTAACTTTTATATTCTACGCACTAATACACATGTCAAACGCTTTAATTCTTTCACATATTGAAAGCCTGGCAGTAAGTAATCAGCGTAACTATTTGGTTGGAAATACTGATTGAAGTTCATGTAACAGATGTGCAGATGTGTGTCGTAACTGTGATGAGTTAAGCATCTTGTGGTTCACAAAATAATCTTGCGAAGAAACAAGGCGTTTTTTCTACGAATTACACACAGTTTTCGCATCCGCAGGTCTATTATGGCGAATAAGAAGTACTATCACATGCATAAGATCCTTATGCACTAAAAACGAACTCAAGTAATGACAACAAAACTTGGTGGTTAGGGCATGGGATTAATATATATTGTAGGATAATGAACAACTGGCAAAAATCCATAACTAATAGGCACAACACTTGAGGAAAATTAAATAAACCTTTACTCCAATGTGCAGTAATCCATAGCTAGGCTTGGGAAGTGCATACGATAATCGCCGAAGGTATCTGTCTGTAAGTATGTGCGAGGGAAATACTGGTACACTTAGTAAAATACTCGGAAAGTTAATTCAAAAAGAGCACTCTAGGTTTCATTCAAGTAGTGAATGCATGGACGATGCGTTAATAAGGTTATAAGGTAGTTAAGTAAGCACCAGCAGTGTAACGTCTAAGATTTCCAGTTGTATAGTGAAAACCAAATCGCAATATATTAATGTGAATTACCTATAGGCTTATGTCAGTCTGGCCGTCCCGGGACGTGTTTTAACATGGTTGAGATAGTATTGCAGTAAGTGGAGTCACATTGAAACTCTAGATGTAGTAGCTTGGAAATAGATGACGGGTTTCACCTCACAGACCTACATACTGTATACTGTTAACTAACCCTCGGAGCAGTTGTAAAAGGCAAAAGGTGATCAGTTTATAAAGTAGCATCACAGGTTGATGAATAATTGTGTTGGGTTAGCATCTGCTGGTGCATTACGACTCTCTCGGCGTAATCCGAAAGGCAATGTGACTCAGTGGCTTCAGACACATAAATATGACTTAGAATGAAATTCAGTTTGACATAGAGCAGATCAAATTAAGGGAAAATGAGAAGTGCAGCTAGCTGAAAGTGACTGTAGAGAAAAAGTGCAAGCGAAGGCATATTTTACACCCGGAATGCAAGGAACGAATAACAGTAATACACGTAGTCATCGAATGAAAGTTCTGACAATATTTCAGCTGAAGACATCATGGGCTTCATTGACGACAACCACTAAATACGATATTTTACTTGCAAAAGACAGCTGATTTCGGAAATTTTTAAATAAAATTACACAGTCACCACTAAAAGTTTGTTTTCATAATTTTTCTATCGTTTTCTCTTCCACGAGTTTCGCCAATGTTATCCATACTAAGAAATCTGTTACATTAACATTCACCGTTCAAACCATGGGAAAACCACTCAGTTTTAGTCCGACCTATTTTCAACACTAAAACCAGCATACAATACAACTTTAAACGCTCACCCAAGTAATATAGAAGGCACTATAAATTATTCGCTAATATTAGGTATATATTAATAGCATAATTATGTATTCCGAATATTAAAGTATTTGAACAGTTCAGTAGTTCGTATTAAATAAGACCTTCTTCACGGTCTATGTACAACTGTGATTAGAACGGATGACTGATTACCACCTATACAGGCTAACAAAATGCAATTTAAAAATTTGGATGAACGTTTACAGACATATGTCTAATTTTGCAAAATAGTGGACAAATACATCATAAATGAAAGTGATTTCTGTTGATAATAATTCTAATATGCAGAGAAAACTTACTGTTGTTTGGCGTTTCTTATTTTGTTGTGTTTTGCTAACATTAGACTTTTGAGAAATCTTTGTACTAGGATCAGTCGCCTTTGGTGTCCACACATCCAAAACCTGTGTTCCATGAGCACTTAAACGAGGTGCAGAATCTTTTGGTCCTTGCATAGACTTGATAATAAAAGTGTAGAAACAAAGGTACTAAATTTAGCACAGTATATATATATATATATATAAACAAACGTTTAAATAGCCTGAAATTCAATCTTGTAATAGAGAAATGTGGAATATTTGTCTTGTCAGAACTTTGAAATACTAGGGTGGTGAGTGCTTCTTATAATCAGATATAAGTAGTATATCAGTAAAGGGGGTCAGAAAAGTAACAATATGTTTTGGAGCACTGGAAAAAGGCAATCAAAGAAGAGAACTAGGAAAAGAATATTACAACCCTGTGTAGAATCCAGCAAGCCACCGAATGTGGTGATATTCGACCTATTTGCACATGGTGTACAAATAAAGACTTAAAGATAAGGTATATCCAAATTTATGTGCCTACAATGGGTTTGTCCTAATAAACATTGCCTTCGAGACTCATCGGTCTTTTATTCTTTACATTGGCAAATAGAAAATAATTATGTCCACTATGTGAGCAAGAATCAATTGTAATTTAACATTATGAAGTAGGACCTCTTAGATGGCCTAAATAAAG